TTCCCTGTCACGTTGTTCCATCATTGTTCCTTTTCTCTTCAGATTTTCCCGACAGTAATGAGTACGAATAAAGGGAACACGTCAGCCTGGAAGCCACATCGCTGTTTATTATTTCCCCAGCGCGAACATTTTTCTTCCTTTTCTTTTTTTTTTTTTGTTCGAAACGTACGCTGTTTCCAGGATGCTTCGCGGTCTGCCAATGAACACTACCCGAGACCTCCTTCTTTTCTCTCTTAACGTTTCACCATAATTATTTCAACCGGAGGATTTTACGCGGCCACACGCAGAAACCGGCGGCTTTGTTAAATGGAGAATCGTTAAGAAAGCTAATTTTCCGCTTAAAACCATTGTGTGATACGGCGCTTTGCCGGCTTAAACGGCGCCATCGTTCTCCGTTAGGCGAACTTTGTCGTAAAAGGGAAAAGGGATTACGGCTCGTAATAAACTTTGCAGAAACCCTGCAAGAGGCGGAAAGATAGGAACGTCTAATATTTAAAGTAACTTTTCGCCGTGATCTTAACTCCGTACAGGCTCAATGCGCTTCGTGACGGCCACGAGCTGTATCGCTCTTTTTTCTTTTTTTTTTCTCGACGAGGATCACGGAGAGAACGGGAGGAGAATTTAGCGATACGATGAAATCTGTTCTTATGAATATTTATAATCTTTTCGGACGAACGTGAAGATTTTCTGTCAAGAATGAAGGAAAAATGATTTTTTCTGTGTACGTGAAAAAATTTGGTAACTGTGAATATCTGAAGAGTAGGAAGATAGAGACAATGTAAAGGGTGGGTTACGAATTGCTCGACAAAGGTGAAGTTAGATCAGAAATATTTCTGTTTTTTCTTCTATTTTTTTTCACTGAAATTAGGATAATTCGTATGAGTTTCTGTACTTGGAGAGCGTAATAAATTTTGTAAGGTATAATGAACACAACGTAATTAAGGTATAACAGGATCATTTGAGGTTATTCATCGTTACACAATACCAGACATTCTCTGCGAGAATAAAATAGATACTGAAATAATTTCATTCGGGATTTTTACATCGCTCGGTACATTCACCAGCGAATGTATTAAAAAATCCTTCTGATATATTAATAAACTTTTTATAATACAAGAATAACTTGAACATTACTGATAAAAAGTTTTTGTCAGATAAATCGATAATTTAAATGAAAATTAATATTAAATAACACGAATGGTCTCTTTTAAACGCGGTGAAAATTTTGCATGCGAAAACCTTCTGTTTCAGTGGAATTTTTCTCTTTTCGCTAAAACGATCTCTATTCTCGAAAACGTACGTTACAGTTAAACAATGTAATAAAAGATATTAATAAACGCATGAAAATGCGTTCTGAATGCAATGGAGAAACGTTTCTACACTAAAGAATAAAATATCTCGTAAAGAATTCAACTTTAAAACACCTTTCATTCACAGAATCACTCTAAGGATCAATTTAAGCAAAAAATTTGCAAAAAAATTGTTTCCAAAAAAATTCGCAGAACAATAGAGATTTTTAAACTGCAATATTTTTCTTTACCATTTTTTCCTAATTTCGCTTGGAACAGAGCTAATATCCTACCCCAGTTACTATTATAAAATCACCCACAATCGGTATAGTGAAATTTGCCGAACGCTCCACTTTGAATCCACCAAGAGCGTTTCACGAAGTTAAAAAGTGTTGCAACGCGGGAGAAACAATGGTCGTGTTGGATTGTTGTCAAACTTATTCTCGTGCGATAATCGAGGGGCTGCTATTCCTTGTTCGCGAAATGACGAAAAGCTACTTCTGTTCAATGGTCTGTGACGTTATGTCGGATTAAAGCAGAAGTTCGTTTTACGGCGAGCAATTTCAACCGGTCGTAATCGTCCCTGTGTTAGACTAATGACATAACTGTACAACTGTAAATTGTACTGCCTATCGATGACAGACGCGAAACGATTGTTGCAGATTAAATGACCGAGGTATCAATGAAACTTTCCACGAATATGGTTTTAGTAAAAACGATATGAATTAGAGTACGATTCTGTGGTTTCACATACGCTTTGACTGTAGAAAAAGAAGGCTATTTATGCCTTTTTTAAAAAGAAAACTCTTCATTTCTAGGTGTGAGGAGGTGCTTGAAAATGTTCTTTACTTCAGTTTCGTTATTAAATTTTGGTTGAAAAAAGTGGTCAGTGGAATGCAATTTTTATTCATGATTCAATAGTAAAACAATTGACGAATCACTGATCGTGACGGTTCTTCAGTTATTTTACTATTGAACGACAGATAGTTTTGGTTAACTTTAAGCTTTACTTTGGTTTCTTTTGGTTAATTTCTAGATTCGAGAGATATTGCTAACGAAAGCTGATAATTTCCACTGATTTTCCCGCGTCACGACAGAAATGAATTTTTATCTCCAACGCGATTCGTTTTTTACTTTACTCAGGAAAATTTCAGATTTCTTAGACAATTGTTTCTAATCTTATAAATAAATTTATACTTTGCAGTCTTCCTAGCGAAACCTTGTATTTAACATTTGAAAAATACAGCGTTATATTCCTCGAAATTATCTATTAGCACATTTAAAAACGCAATTCTGAAATATGTCGCATTTCATATGCAACAAACTAACACAACGATATTCCAACATTTCCCTTTTAACTCGACCTATTGAAATTCCTCTTTTTTTTTTTTTTGCAAACTGGCAATAGTAATCGTCGAAATAAACGACGCATGAACGAATCGCAGCTTCTCTCGCGACATTGCTCCGGAGTATACAAAATAAACAAGAAGATGAATGTGACCAGGCGCGGTGTATCGTTGAATATTGCAGATAGCCGCCATTGCATTCGCGCAAATGTGAAATCAGGTTATGCGTACCAAATATCCAAGCCATCAAATTTCCCTTCCACGCAGTGTGATGCCGGCGCTCCTTTTGTTTTTTCTCACTCTCTTGTTTTTTTTTTTTGGTCAGAATTTTTAGATTTGAAAATGCACGCATTGTTTGTACGGCGAAACGCGGTAACGCACGGAAATCAATATTCACGTTGGAAAGACCAATGCGGTGCAAATGTGGTCGGTCGAAAGTGTACTTCGATTTGGACCTTTTTGCTTGCCGAAACTTCGTTCAGAGTTGATTGATTAAGTTCGAGTTGATCCGTTGCAACAATTTTTGCAATTTTTTGTCGTAGAAGGTAAAAAAAGAATTGTTCATTAAAAAGTACTTGAACGTAGAATCGAATCAATTTTAATTACAATTGCAGGAAATGGAAAAGATTGTTGCGTTAAATTGAGCACAATTTAAGGATGGTTTTAAGAAATTTCGTCCTGCAATCTAATTTTCCAGAAAAATACCGGATTTAACGATAAGTTTGTTTACACTTTGAGAGCAAGAATATTCCCCTCAGGGAGTATTAGCTTAAAACCTTGCATACGAATGTTGACTTCTATAATCGGATCAAATCACAGTCGAAGAGCAGTTAAACTCGTTTAAATATAAGCTGTTATAATACTGTAATACCACTTCAAAGAAAAATACCTGCTGCAGGATATTAAATATTGCTACAATAATTTTAAACGGTTTAGTAGGTTGACGAATGATAATTCCGCGAGATTGTGTGTGAAAATGAAAAGTTAATTCACATCTGTTAGTTTTCTGTTAATTTTATTCCACCTTTACGCAATTTTACTATCATCAAAAATAATAATTTTAACATTCCTAACCTAAAAATTTGACTATTTAATTTCGATCAAAGTATGTCGGAGGAACAAATGAAAATGAGAAATATACCAAGCTTGTGTAATATGAAATGTTGGATTTTTCAAGGAAGAATGAAAATTGTTTTTTTTTTTAAATTGAAACGTAAGTAAATCATCCTAACATTCATATAAAAGAAGGCGCGTCCTAATGAAAAGACATGCCAGATATCTCGTCCACGGATGCAAAAGGGTTAATATTCGTTCCCCCCAAAAAAATTCATTCAAAAAAAAAAAAAATAGGTAGTTATGATTGCCGTTGCGCAGGTATAACTAGCGCGCACAAAAGCTGAAATAGTTCTCACTATAGCAGGATTATTCCGCGGGCCATACGATTTCGAGCGATCAGTGCAAAATTACCATTGCATCGAGAACAGTACCGTGCCAAGCTTGTTAATCACAAAAGCTTACTGTTTCTCGTGTGCTCATTATACTTCGCAGACCACAAGCTTTCCATTGAACGATGTAGAATTATCATCGATCAGCCGATAGCATTACGATTCCATTATCTGCATCTGTGCTGAGCTCGACCTGACTAACCCTTGCTCGTTACTGGAAGCCTGCATCTAACAGTAATCCCGT